AAGTGGTGTACAAAGGCTGAAGCAAATGGCAAATCTCGCCGGGTCATGTACACATTAGAATACCCTGCGATGTTGAATGGAAACGGAATGTTTGGCGCAACCGGGAACGACTTGTGTAACTTGCTGAGTACAGTAACTTCCGCTGTTCACTGCTGTACGATCAGCTCTGGATTGGGTACGTCGCTGGGGTTAGGCCGAATTCTCATTCACCTCTAACGATTCCTCAAGTTTTATGCTTTTTTAACCTCAACGTTCAATTACCCCTATATAACACCTTCCCCTTCCGTGATCTCCTGTTTCCTTAAAATGCACTAGCGGACGAGGGAGGGATCACTGGTCGACAGGTCACGACCAAGGAAGACGCGAAAGTGGAAAATAAGTTACGGGAATGTGTATAAAACTCACATCAACAAAAGCAATCATCACGAATCGCACCAAATTGATGTCCGCTTGACTGTCGCTGCCCGGAGACGCTCGAAATTCCACCTGCGGTGATAGAAATTTGCTACTGAAGAGCCACTAGTTATATCAATACGTAAAAAACATGATATCTATACGTAAAAACAGACTTCCAGAAAACATTAAGTTCACCTGGTTAGCTAAAGACTCGTATGCTCGAAAAGTCGACAGAAACTCTCGAGTATAAGCGAGATGGAGTGCAGCTATCACGAACAAAACCATCATCTTCAGATGATGCGGATAGAACTGCTCGACCTGGAACTTCTTTGTTCACAAAATGGTTGTAAAACAATGACAAAAAAGCCTAATGGAACACCTGGGAGATATTAAATCCAGGGTTTGGCTCTACAAGGCAGGACTCCGAGCCAAGGAGAGAAGCAGTACACACAAGAAACATGCACCATTCATTTACGAGTGAAACTCTAACCTTTCTAGGATGCGCCACGTGCGCGAGTTTAGTTAAAAATGTGCTTGCATTTATTTGTATGCATGTTAGATGCAAATAATGCGGAGAACCGCTCATCACTCAACAATAACGTTGTTATTATTTTGTGGTGTCTCGTCCAAATCAGATTACCTTTCAATGGACAGGGATCATCGTGACGTGCGGAATCGCAGTGCGAGCACTCCAACCAACCCCCTCTTCTAATAAGGCCTCCTTCCTCTCCCATCCTCCACCTTCTTAAAACTTTCTAACTTGCATTTTTTGCATTTTTGCACGTGAAATGGGAAAAAGTACGAAAGTCGGCGGCCGGAATATTTGTACTTTTATCGCTGCTCGGAAGGATTCCCATCCAGACCAGACTTCAATAGACCATATAGCACCCCTTGCCCCTCTCCTGCGACTAGGCACGATCTCCTCGATGGGTTGTCGCAGCGGTGCTGTACCCTATGGTCCAGCTCCTGCGGAAGGAAGACGACGTGTCTTACAACTGCGCTACACCACTACTGAATACCTCCTACGCAACCATCCGCCTCGGAACATTGTCTAAAAAAGCAGAACTAGCCCACGTTATCAAAAGTAAGGATTGCAATAGTCAAAACTTGGCGTGCTAGGGTAATTTTATTGTTGATTGGTCATGAGAGTGAAGAAATAAATAATTAATATTGTAAAGAATGAACTTTTCCAGTCTTTCCACATTTTTCTATGGGACATATGCACATTGTTGGATTGCATTTCACTCTTGAGGATTTCTTTTGGGAGATCCACGTGGGTAAGGCGGCGTTGCAAATGAGGTTAGCCCACACCTGCATAAAGGCATATTCGCTTAACTGTATAATTATATATAGCCACGGTGCGCCAAAAGTCCGCTCCATTGAGGCCCGAACCTTTCCAACAGCAGGTATCAAGGCTACCCCTCAAAGAGTCAACGAAGTGCGAGGCCCGCAACGGTGGGGATTCTATAATAAATGGGGGGGGTGGAGCGTGCTTTTGAAAACTTGTGTCCCGCATTGACGAGGGAGCTCCTCGGGCTCACCGCCGAATATCCTACAGGACCAAGAGCATTGCCTGAAAGTGATGGACTTGAGAATTGAACATGGCACTAATTCGGCGAAATACATGTATGAAGTAGCCGCTCAATCTGGCCTCCCTTATTGCGACATACGATTGGAAGATTTAGTGGAACACATTGCTCAATGGGAGTTACTCAACCGCCTAGCAGCCCTTGAATCAACCTTGACCTGATACTGAAAAGTCAATGAGCGCTGTGATTCAACAACATTACAGAAGCAAACAGACGCTAGCAGTCCGTGAACAGCTGGCACGATAATGGTGACAGAGGTCGGGCACTCAGTTCACAAAACAAGTCTGTGTCTTGCCAGCTCAACGTCTCGCCGATCGAGTGCAGAACGATAGGAAGTACTGAGCAGCACGTTCTACGCAGCAAACCTAGTCATTACACAAGGAAACGCGATCCTAATCCCTCGATCTTTAAGCCCGCGACTACCTTTAACTTTTGAGGAGAGTTGACCTTCTTGGATTGTGAAGTAAGATTCTTCTGAAACAGGCACGTCTATCGCGCGTGATACAGTAAGATCACAGAGCATTTGAATGCAGGTCTCATTCTATATCATACGAGCAATTCCATTTTTTACCAGCTCCAGTGGATACTGCGACTCCAATTATTTCTTATGATCATATGAAGAATATGAATAACTGGGCATTGGAAACGGGTGCTTCAATTCAACTACAGCCATTACCGCATCCTGCGCATGACCATTTATCTAAGCCCGACCTCACGCTCCACTTATCTCCTTTCTCCGGAGAAAGACCAGTGTAGCTGAGGTGAGTTAGTTAGCAACGACTGATACAACCTCCTGAAGAGTAATCGACCTTCTTTGTCAGTAGAAGCTTGATTTTTGTGACTCAGTCCTTTCCTCTTCCATTCTTTGGCGTATCAGCAACTTATTTGCTATACTTTCTGCATTCCTTCTTTGTACCAGGCGCACTCCCCACCATTCTGTCCGAACCGACATACCGACATTGTTAGCAAAAGGTCAGCAATAAGAGCAACCAATTGAGCAAGGTCACCCCACAGACAATCCCGAAAGTAAAAGTCGTACCTTTGCCAGCTGCCGTATCAAAAAAACCAGACCAATGGTGAAGAAAAATGAATGCAAATCTCTTAGTGTAAAGAAATACCCAGGTAAAACTCTTATGTATCGCTTATCGTTAAATTCTCCTTCAACTGCCTGTCCATTCCTCCAATGTTATTATGCGGGTTGGCCATAAGTGATGGCGTGTTTTTACATAAAATTTCCCATGAAAGCTTGAGAGATCTCCCCATGTGTTCAGTGTAGTTCAGTAGACGATTCTCAGCCCCATAATGCAATGCACTTAGTAAGCTATTCTTCGTTTTTTTGACGATTCTCAATCCATCAGTGAAGTGTCAGGTCGACACGAATGAAAGTTCTTGACATCACCTTTCGCGCTTAATCTAAGCTCTCAAACTGCAGAAACAGCTCAGAGTTTGTGATTTGATCATGATCAAAAAGCAGTGCTTCCTAGAACAGCTTGGAGTAGGTTGAAGCGATTAAACAATGCGAATCGTAGCCTTGCGAATGTGTCTAGCTCAGGGCGCCTTCTTGGGGAGTGCGACTACCTGCAGAACCATCCACCTAGTTTTAAACCTCGCCTACCAAGCAAGAAAGGTGCTCAGTAAAGAATGGAAAATGAAGAATGAACAGTTGGTAGATGTCATGGAAGCCTTCCATGAAATCTACCAATATCCCATTCTTTGGCATGGATACCGTGAAAAAGTTGGTTCAGTAAACTCCCAGCCAGATTCAATAGGGTGCGATGTTTGTTCGCGACGTCGAAATTAAAGTCTTTAATAAGCCTAACCCTTCCTTCTGAAGGACACCGTTTCTTAGTGATATACTTATGGAATGGGAATCTGTAAGATGTAAGGATCGA